GAGTACAATCAGTATCATTAAATCATTATCACAAAAAAAAAAAAAATCTGAGTTGTTTGTGATTGTTAGACAAAATCTCTGGGAGGACTCAAAAGGCAGATAGATTACCAGAGAAGTAACAAAAATCCTCCATAAATACCCCAGGAATTTTATAATTTTGTTTTCTTTTATGTTCATTTGAAAAACCATGGAACTCCTCTCACCACAGAATCACTAAACTAATTGCTGATTCCAGCCCTACAGCTGTGATATTTCAGGGGAATTGAACGGCTCTGGAGCTGTGCGTATAAATCAGGCAGATGCCTTCTTTCATTCTGCCCTGTCTCTCCTGTTTCTCAGTGGTGCCCTCCAAGCCCATCAGGCTTGTCAGTGGTGTCACATCCTATTCCTTTACCTCCCCTCTCCAGCATCAGCACGACCAGGCTTCCACTGATCTGCACAAGGTTTTGACAGCTTAGATTGAGAGCATGACCCTCAGAGCAGTCACAGGAAACAACCTTTTGATGACATCGGAAACATTGCCTTTGGTAGAAAATAGCTAAATTGCATTCAGAGAGTATTTAATGAGTTCAAGGAGAGACTGGTTTGCATTTCTTTTACCAAAACCCAACAAAATTATAGGTTTTCATACATTGGTAGGATTTTTTGGTCACTGAAGGACCACAAGGAATATGCCATGCTGACCATAATGCTTTCCCATGGCTTTAACAGCTCTACATCTCAGATTTAATACTGTGATTCCTTGGTACTTGATAATAAAAACAATATATCTGAGGGTAAGAAACCATGGTAGCTGTTAATGCAGCAGGAGGCAGTGGGCTGTGAGGTCTTTTTGTATATTTGCTGATGACTTCAGTCTCTGAGGTTCCTGAGCACCTTGCTGAAAAAGATCATAACACCAGCTGCTCTTTTTAGGGGTATTCACTGCCATTTGATGGTGTTGTGATGATGCCCATGTATTGCCAGGTTACTCTGGTAAACCTCCTGTATGTGACATCTAAGCAAACTGTAGCGTGTCCTGACCTTCCCATCCAGGGTGGCACAGAACAGTTTGGGTGGAAGGGATCTCTAAGATCATCCAGTTCCAGCCCCCCTGCCATGGGCAGGGACACCTTCCACTAGACCAGGTTGCTCAGAGCTCCATCCAGTTTGGTCTTGAACACTTCCAGGGACATCCACAGTTTCTCTGGGGAACCTTCTCCAGTGTCTGGGGTGTCTGGGGACAATTGCAGTAAATAGTATCTTCCTAATATCTAGTCTAACTCTGCCTCTACTTTGAAGCCCCTTCCCCTGTCCTATCACTACAGTTCCTGAAGAAGATTGCCTCTCCATCTTCCCTTCAGGCACTGGAAGGCTGCTGTGAGGCCTGAACACAACCTTCTCTTCTCTGGGCTGAACAACCCAGCTCTCAGCCTGTCCTCACATGGGAGGTGCTCCACTCCCCTCACCAACTTAGTGGCATCCTCTGGACTTGCTCCAACAGCTCCATGTCTTTCTTATATCAGGGGTACCAGAACTGCGTGTCATATTCCAGATGGGGAATCCTCACTACAGCAGAAGATCTGGATCTGGAAGAGCATTCAAGAATCGTTGGAATCTTCCTTTGATACCATCTGGACTTTTACTGCTCACTAAATGTCAAAAACGGCTTTTGAAAAAGTATAGATTGGAAACCAAAATTTCCACTGACTCCAGGACTTAGGAGTAAACAGGAGAACCTGCTTTGTTGTAGTAAGGCCAGTGGAGGGATCTTGTGGAGGGTGCTGGGAAGCAGGGTGATAAAGCACTGAATATGTTCTGTTCCCTCAGTCATCAAATCCTCCCTGAGTGACTCATTCCATGTGAATTTTGTATTCCTTACAACAGCCAAAAGCAAGTCACTCTAGGGAAATATGACAATATTTGGTTGTTGAGTATTCTCCTTGCTTCCAGTAGCTGAAGGACTTTCCAAGCTCTGAGGGGCATAACCATAGTTTGATTTCTCTTCCATGAATCTAACCTTGACCCCATGTAAATTTTAGGCATCCATAACATTTTGGTGTGAATAAAACTTAGTCCCTAAATATCTAGAACTAATCAATCCTTTAAGCAGTTTTATTGACTTCTGAACTCTCACAGCAGCACTTAATTTGACAATTAATTTAATTTACCTCCTTCCAGTGCTAGTATCTTTACTCAAAGCAGTGCACAAGATTTTCCCATCACTTGAATTCTTCATTAGGTTCAATGCATGACATGAAATAACAATATGCAGGAGGCTCTACAGCAAGATCAGTGATATGGTGAGGGCTGAAAGAAATTGGATCAGGAGGGTTTAAATATGAATTAAGGAAGAAATGGGCACAATACAGAAAGCAAGTGACTTACTTTACTCCAGTTGTTGATGTTGAGATGAAAAGTAAGAATACAGATATAAGAATATAGATAAAACTTCACAGTAAAAGCCTTCTATCTTCTTGATCCACAGACATTTAAACTGTCACAAATGTGTGATCACTTCAATTGAGATGAAATGTGGTTGATGCATACACACACAAAAATTCAAGACTCCTTGGTGAATTAGTGACAGTCACATTTTTAAGTGAAACATCAGCGCTTTCTGGTACTAAGTATTAAATTTAAAAACCTCAGGGATTGCTCATTTACAGTAGGTAATGCCCATGAGCATGGTGGATTTTCATTACCTGAAATCAGAGGTTGACTTGGGTAGTCTGCTGCAGCCAGCTCAACTTCTTTGCAGAAGCTAACATCTGGGCAAAAATTAGCAGAAATATCGGTTTCAATTAATATTTTGTTTTACAACTCAACCCAAATTGTCAGTGACAGAACTAGGCCTTAAGTGCTACATGGGAATTAGCTTTCCTAAAAATTCAGCAACTGAACAGACCTGAGCAGATGACCCACAACTCATCTGTGAAATACTCAGCTTGGGGAAATAATTTGTTTAACTGTGACCCAAATAATGAAGTATACAGTGTTAGTTGTCAATTAGTGCTGTACCACAGAGCAAGCAGAATGTTATGCAGAGCAAGAAGCTGCCTATAAAGTAATAGAGGTATCTGTTATGGGTTCTAACTAACCTCCCCATCTTTTTTAAGGATTTAAATATAACTCTTTCTTGTCAAATCATTTGATGAACTCTATTACTGATGTTGGAAGGTGATGACTGTCAGCCAAGAACTACATTAGAGTCCATAATTGAATTTCAAGAGTTGTCAAGAGCAGGCTAATCAAATACCTGCTACTAGAAGTAAAACATTAAAGAAAGAAAAAATAATAAAGTTCTCTTCTGGCAGGATGCAAAGTATGTTGTATAGTTTCCCTATGTCATTTCTAATCGTACGTTCAATTTTTCTCGGCTACCTTTGCCTGACATTCTTCTCTTGTATAATAACGATTCATTATATATAATGTATTCAATGACTGTAACTCACCTCTTAGTGCCCAAAAATATGACTGCAGCAGACATTTGCATTGTAAAACAAAAGCATAACACCAGGGTTTATGAAGGATCCTTTTATATTAGTTTCTTGACAGGAATGCTAGATTTTTTTTTTTCTGAAGTAAAATACTGACCCCAAAATAATCTTAAAAATCTAGCACAGAAAACAATTAACAGCTCTTCTTCCCTGTGCTTAGGAATTTGATAATTTTAGGGAGAGCTGGGGGGCAAAATATTCCTTGGCCATTTAAGGAGAGTGAAGAACTGCACTCACTGTACTGCACTCACTGTACTGATCATTAAACCCATGGCCTGCAGTGTGGAAGTTTTAGCAGTGTTCAGGCTATGTGAAGGGTGGGCTGTGGTCCAAAAATACAGAAATGCAGGCAGTGCTCCCAAACAGTGCTGAGTAAAATGGAGATGATGCTCCCTGAGCCCTCAGTTAAATATAGTGGTTGTTCATGACAGCAGGGAGTGCAACAGGAAGGCTGCCCTGAATTAATTTTTCCTACCTGCTATTCCCTGCCTGTTCTTGGGCAAGGCATTTATTTTCTCCTCACTGCTTTTATTCACCTTTTTTATTCCTAATTGCACCAGGACACTGGGGGGACAGACAGAACCAGGTAGTACCTTTGGTTCTGCCTTTAGCTGCTCTCAAAGGAAATATGAGCACAGCTATACTTTCAGTTTCATAGTTATTTACACTTTAACACCACACAGCACTCCTGAGCTAAATGGAATTGATTCTTTGCTGCTACCATATAACCTAGAGAACAACAGCAACAACAGTAACACCTGCAGGTTTGCAAAATGTTTTATTATAGTAAAACATACCATACACCGAGGAGAATCAATGGTTATATTTTATCTGTCCCATCAAAGAAAAATACCTTTGCAATATTTCCCACTGGCTTAAAAAGGAAATGCTAATAGAAATAATTTCATTATTAAAAATATATAATGTTTTCTATTTATTTTGTTCTATATTAGAAAGGCAAATATTGAGATGATGATATGGCTTAAATATATTAAAATTTTTCCTCTGGGGAGCTTGTCTTCATCTCTAGCTAGACCACACATGGAATGAGTTCAGGAAACTCTGCATGACAGCAGGTATCAACCCACATTAGGTGTAAATTTGGTATCTTCAACCAGAGTGTCTGAGTTTGACAAGAAGAAGAAAAGTCTTGGATACCTATTCTACAAAGTTTTTCTTCTCCTGCATATTAAAATGTCTCCAGTATATTTTCTTCCTATTTTTTTTCCTCTAGATAATGACAAATTTGTCTTCCCTTGTTTTAACCATCACATGGTAAAGAACAGACCACCATCTTATCACACAAACTCATTTTAGCTTAGTGGAATTAATCACCATGGCTGGTTCTTAAAAATTCTGAGAGAAGTGAAGGAATAGGAGAGAAAGAGTGACTCCAGAGAGCAATTCAGATTTCCACCATTAACACACCTGCACTGAATTACCCCCTGGAGAAGCTCCTCTCTCTCTCCACTAGCTACACTGAAAACCCAGGAAGACTTGGCAGGAAAAAAATTACCCTCTCTCCACTAGCTACACTGAAAACCCAGGAAGACTTGGCAGGAAAAAATTAGCCCTTGTGAATCTGGAGTTCACAGGAGGCCTACAGCACCCAAACCTCCCAGGCACTGCAACCTCCATCTATGTCTGGAGAGTGTTCTTAGTCACCCCAGCCATCTGCTTTTCTTCCTGGGAATCAGAGATGCATAGCATGGTCTTTGCAGCCCTAAAGTCCTCGTACAAGTTGGCATTTGTGCAGCAATAAGGCAGCAGATTGTCAGGGTTAGCTGGGATTTTAGGGATCCAGGGAAAGACACAGGAACTGTTAACTATATTTAGCAATTCCTGTTAAAAATTACTGAAATACCAGTCAGGGAGGAAAAGGCTGCTACAAAAACACACTGGATGAAAGGAAAATGATGTTTTTCACTGAGGTGAAAAACACTATCCAAAAATGACAGGAACAGCATCCTATCATGCCTCAGACCATTTGTTGGACATTACTCACAGTTGCCATGTGTACAACATCCTCACCATTTTCAATCAACTGGCCAAAACCGCATAATGTTGATACTAAAATAGCAGTAGAAAATCTGTAGTGCTACATCATTGTTCACATTCCCTGTGAAACCCTGAAAATCTAAGGCAACATTAGACCACAGCTGCACTGTTTTGAAAACCTCACAGGGAGGTTCTGCTACTCAAACTTGCTGCTCTCTGCATCCTGGTGCACAAATGAGCACTGTGACAGCTGAAACAGCTGGTCAGTTCTTGCTGCTGTCACTGGAGCTCACTGGGAGGTGGGGCCAAGAAGCCATCATCACATTTTAAAAATACTTCTGTTCAAAAAAGACTGGTATCCTGGTTGTTGACAGATTCATTTTCCTGGATATATTGGAGAATGTCCACTTCATTCATCGTCTGAATCCTGTTTTCCTTTTGCTTTGCCAGTGAAGGTGAATTAGTGCTCCTGGGGGCAACTGCTGGCTTCTGAGGCAGAGGTGGTTTTGGTGGGACCTTAGGTTTTGGTTTGGAGGTAACCTCTAAGAGTTTCTCAAAATCATCTTCAACTCTGAAATGAAAAGAAAACATCAGTAACATCCTGGGAATTTCTGAACTGCTTTTTTTCTGTAAGAAAATGCAATCTTTCAAAACAAAACTTTCTGCAGAAAAGGATCTACTCTGATAAATTTCTCTCTCCATAGAAGTTTCCATAAGAACCATCTTTTCCATAATGTGGTTATACAAGTTAACTTACACAAGTTAATTTTACAGCATGTTTTCAAATGTCTAAATTAAAGGCAATTAGCAATTACTAAAAACACCAAACTTTATTTTAGTTTGGGAAAATTGTTTTTGATTTGTGACAGGATGCTTTGCTTCCCCATAAATTTTCATGGGAAAATAAAATTATCCACATTCAACTCTGTTTCCTCTTCATCTCCATCACCCAAAACTGAGGTTGAGCATCCCTATGCTCAATCATGAGAAACTGTAAACACTAATGGATTTTAAAATTCCATTTTCATATTTGGTTCTGGGACACTGAAGAAGTTTTTGTAATCTGTGGCCACATAAAACAACTCTTTCTGATGATAATTTGCTTCTGATTCCTACTGAAATAACCCAGAACACCTCAAACAGTTCAGGGTATTTTCTACCTGCATTGTTTGACCTTATCAGATATGCAGCAGGCTGTGCATGCCCAACTCTGTTCCCGCATGAGCTGTTAACAGGTTTTAAGAGAGCCCTTATCATAGATTATCTGGTGACTCCAAGAACTGTGTGCCTTTGGAAAGTCAAAACATGGAGTAAAGAAAAACAAGGATTCTCTTCAGCAGCTCCACTCACTGGAACAGGATGTGGCACTAGGGTCTAAGGAAGATGCTTTTTTAGTTTCTTTTTCTCCCTTACCCATAGGTAGGCAGTCCCTGGGGCATGAATGAATAATTTCAAGTCATATATTTTTTGGTTCTTCTTCTCACTTGCCTTTTGTAGTTAGAATCATGGGACCACTGAATATCCTGAGCTGGAATGGACCCATCAGGATCATTAAGTCCATCTCCTGGACCTGCACAGGACATCTCAAGGGTCACACCATGTGCCTGAGAGAATTGTTCAAATGCTCCTTGAGTTCTGTCAGGCTGGTGCTGTGGCCAGTGCCCTGGGGAGCTGTTCCAGTGCCCAGCCACCCTCTAGGTAAAAAACCTTTTCCCAATATCCAGTTTATAACTTCCTCACTGTCAGGCAATGAGGCATCTTGGGGGGTTACCCAGATGCCTGTGAAACCCCTGGGATAATTTCTGTTTCCTAAATGGGACAGTGATTCCTCCCTTTCTCTCTTTCTTCACCAGTTGCCTCAGGAGAGGTACTGCAAATGCCTCTACCACACAGCAGTACAACTGGTGGGGCTTTCTGCAGACAGTTAAAAGTAAAGCTCAGCTTTTCCATAATTTGGGAAGCAACTGATGAGGCAACTGTCCAGGATGACCAGGAACATGATCAAAGAACCAACATCTCTGGGACACTTTATTCCTCCATCCCCAGTGAATACTGTTTGAATGTTAGAACCATAGATATTTCAAGAGCTACAGCCCCTTCAAGCTAAAGATCCCACTATTACTACGATAAACTGCATGATTTCAAGGGTTTGTTTTTTGTGTTCACCCTCATTAAAACCTGAAAGGAACTTGCAACACTACTGCCCTGGCTGAGACAAACTACACCCACCATGAACCAGCCATGAAGTCAGTAAGGATTAGCCTAAATTTTCTGGTGTAGAGACAGTCAGAACTCTTTAAGGTAAAACCACTCCTGAAGTCAGATAGATCTTCTTGTGACTCCCAAAGGGAAACTTAAAAGAATCACTTTCAACCAAGGCTGCTCTTGTACAATTAATAGCATGAACACCGATATCTAAAACTAGGGAACACCTGAACAGATCAGCTGATGAACAGTGCCATTCACTGCCCCAGAGTTCTGCACCTTGAACTCTACCTGTGGTATTACATCAGGCAGCACCTCAAATTTCATCCTCTAAGTAACTCTGGAGATCATATTCTCTTTTATTTAGATAAGACTTTTGATGTCTTTTATTTTCCATGATTCTTTGTGGGTGACATATCCTACTTAACTTACAAAACACATTCAATGTATTTCTGAATTCCTCATCTACAAAGAAATTAATTTAATCTAAGCCCAGGCCTTTCTGTTTGTTGCAAGCTCTGATATCCAAGAGGTATCACACCTGTGATCACATTGCCAAGACATGTTCTTGTTCTCTTTGCTGTGTAATAAACAAAACTTGTCAAGGCTGGTATTTCTGAAGCCTCCCTTCTTGGCATAAACACACAGTGAATGAATCAGCATCCATGTCATAAAGTTTTGGTCTTAAATAACAGAAAACATAATAAGCAGAGGAACAATGCACAAAACATAGAGACCATATGAAGGAAGCAGCATCCTGAAGTAGCTGCACTGCCCAGAAAAGGCAGCAGTAAATCCAGCTCACTAACCTGGTATGATGATACAACTTCCTGAATTCTCTACTCCAGTTTCTCTGCTAATCACAGCAACAAAATCACTCAGCCAAAAAAATACCCCCAAAAGATCCAGTCCAGTAGGTTGTGGGGGTCTTTAGGGGGTGGGGGTTCTGTGTTCTGCTTTTAAGCCAAAGATTCTGCAGAAGAAAGTCTGGAAGCTGATGATGTAATTTCCTTCTTCTGTCCTGGATTTTTTCAAGACCTTGGTTAGACAGAAGTCTCTTAGAGAGAACACAGCAGATAATATGTGGTCTTTGTCTCAAAACCTGCTTTTCAGTGCTGCAGTGCTAGGCAAGCTCTTTGATCCACTGCTGTTTGATCATGTGAGACACAACTGTCTTTGCAAAACTAAAGAGGTAAAATGCAAAATGCCTCAGGCTGGGATAGAAACAAGGACTTCTATTTCTTGAAAGCAAATGAATTGTTGCAGTGCATAACTACCACCATATTTAACTCCAGGCCAGGAGGAGGAAGAAAAAAATCAAGCAATTATTCTGAAACGAGATTAAAGGAAGAACCTTCCCACCCCATCTTTCTGTAGACAATCAGGCACAGAATCCATGTAATTAATCATTCTTTAATTAGTCTCTATTTCTGTAAAAGAAAAGCAGCACCACATTGTTTAAAATTCTTGCCATATTGTTGTGCTGATTCACAGACTCTATTGGTGGAAATTCTCTCAAATTCTAAAAGAAAGCAATCAAAGCTCCTACTGAAGAAAGGCTGCCACAAAGCCCTTCATGACTGCTGGCATGTGGACTTCCAGACAGTAAATGAGTTCTGACTTGGAGACAGATGCAGCTGCCACAAGAACATCAACATTTTAGATGCCATTTCTCTGGACTTTGTCCCTTCTCTCTGGACCAGATCTTTGGGACAGGAATACTGTCTGCATGTACAACATGATGGGGACAGTGACCTCTGCTTGCTGGGAACGCTTTAATGAGGAAAATCTGTAATGAAAGCAAGAGACAAAGACCCCCATAATTTGCTAAGAATCCAAAAGGCTCATGCTTGAAGCTCAGTTGTCTAACTAACTGCAGTTCCTGCAGAACAAGACTTTCATCTTTTGATATCTTATGTTCTTTACTTTGTATGGTGCTAATTCCAAGTACAAGAGATGAAGCCTTGGGGAGTGCTGTAACATCGCATCTACAACTTGAGAAAAGACTTGTACCCAAAAGTAGACAGGAGACTTCAAAGTATCTGTTGTCCATGACATCTGCTATGGCCAGGAGAGACAGTGTGATGCCCAGCAAGGCCCACCGAAAGATACAGGCTGGAGTTAATCCCAAGAATGCCAAGCACTGGGGGCTGTGAAGGAGATCTCTCTCCTCCTTCAGCTTTCCCCTGCAATCCATTACAGGTAAATTCACAATGGTATTTTAACCTGGGCCAGGAACTAGGTCTGGACTGGACTATGACAGTTTGTGTTGTTTAAATGCTACAAGAACCACTGGCATGGTTTTGGTCTGGGAGAGATTAGCCCTCCTCCAAAAACCTCTCTGGCACAACTCGAAGCTGGAGTGGGACAGTGACCATTCCCTGGAGGCAGCTGCACACAGTCCCCTTGTCCTGCAGCTGCAGAGTCCAAGAGCATGGATGCAGGCAGCCTGGTGGTGCTGCCTGGCTGAGCGCCACAGAACAGGCTCATTAGTGCAGGTAAGTCCCACAAGAAGCCCTCTGAGGACATCAGCCTGCTGGTTACATCACTCACCTTGGAAATGAGAAAAGTCAATTTTTCCAGTCTGAAAAAGTTTAAACCTCTCTCTCCTACCTCTCTAGAAAATTCCCCAATCACCAGCCAAAGGCACAGCTAGGGCAGGGGGCAGCAGGCAGCTTATGCCCCTTGAGCTGACAATGTCTGTCAAAAATGCAAACAACCTGGGGCAAGGTGGTTAAAATCTAGTGGGTCTCAAGCCCAGCAAAAGCATCTCTTGCTGCACTAGGATCCCACATCACCTTTGTACATTATTCTACACAACCTGTACATGTTCCTAGGGGAGGGGCAAGGATTAATGTTTCTGGTCTAGCAAAAAACTGGTTGTTTTGTTGGCAAGTTTACTTTATAGCTTTTCTAATGCTTGTAACATCCTGATACTTCACAGGAATGAAATAAGAAAATTCTTGAAAACCATCACAGAAGAATTTGTTTTTCTGTAACCTACTGCAGGTTACAGAAAAAAAAAATCAAGGACCTTTCCCCACAGTTCTGTCATAGCAAGCAAGAGAAACTGCCCTGGAGTGGTCAAGAGAAACTGCCCTGCAGTGGTCAGGAAATTTCTGACTCAGTTATCGCAACCTTCTCTTCCACCTGCACATTGCCCAAATAATCCTCTCCCCAAAGGATCTACATATAAACCCTCTGGAGTTTCTCAAAGCTTTTTTCCCAACTACAATGCTGTTCTCATACTCTCAGGACAGTGAGCATTGGTGCTGGAAATGCTGCTCCACATGACTACTGGATAGGCTGAAGATGCGTTATTCTCTGAATTCAGCATCTGCTAATGCCTGCTGAAAGAAGAACACACAAACATTTTCTGCTTCAAGGGTGGCAACAGTTCCCTGGCAAACCTGAAGCTGATGAACCTGCTCAAGAAGCTCAATGGACTGAACAGTGGCTGGGGTGCAGTTTCACAGTCTCAGCCTTAAAAATAAGGATAGCCAGCAGGGCTTAAGCAATGCAGGAGGTCCCTCAAGCACTGAGGCAAATTAACTTCTCCAAGTAACAAAGGAGCCAACAAGGGAGGTGCTAGGCTGGACCTCATTCTGAGAGTGAGTGGATAAGGTACTCTGCAGACAGGAGCAGCTTCACATTCACAAACTTTGGTCCTCACAGGGGACTTCAACCACCCCACATCTGTTGGAAGGACAGCCAGCAGGGCTTAAGCAATGCAGGAGGCCCCTCAAGCATTGAGGCCAATTTACTTCTCCAAGTAACAAAGGAGCCAACAAGGGAGGTGCTAGGCTGGACCTCATTCTCTCCAGTAAGGAGGCTGGTGGGGAATGTAAAGCTCCAGGGCAGCAGTGACCATGAAATGGTCGAGTTTGAATCTCTCATGGCAGTGAAGTGGGTGCTCAGCAAACTCTGGATTTCAGGAGAGCACACTTTGGCATCTTCAGGGATCTGCTTTGTAGAGTCCCATGGGATAAAGCCCATGAAATCTCCCATTGCACTTAGAATGCAATTGGTCCTTCTCAATGCTCAGCACTTGTTAATGTCAAGTTGGTGATTCTATTTAAAACAGTAATTCTCATTTCATATGAGCAAGTATCCACAGAGAGCACAGTCTTCAGTTTGCAATGAGAACGTTTATCAGATTCTCTTCTCCCTCATGTTGTGACAAGCACAGCCCACACACATTTTGCAGACTCATTTTTCTCCTTAACAGCCTCTGCCTCGTGAGTTACAGCTACTGCTGAGGATTCACTGCTGTGCTGACACTGCTCTGGTGCTACTGCTGCTCAAACCACTCAGGTACCATAAAGATCACAAAGCATTTGATTGCTCCTGTGTTCTGTTCTGGACATCATCTTCTTCCCATCCCCCTCTGGAAGAAGGTTCTGCCCTCCTCTGCCTTAGGCAGCTCTTCTAACTCTGCCCATGATTCATAGTGAGTCAGACACTTCTCAGATCTACCACACACATGTGAGCTCCTCTGGAAGAAGGTTCTGCCCTTCTCTGCCTTAGGCAGCTCTCTTCTAACTCTGCCCATGATTCATAGTGAGTCAGACACTTCTCAGATCTACCACACACATGTGAGCAGACCCTGAGGTACATGTGAATGTTCACTGCACCAGTGAAGAGCTCCCACATCTGCATTATTCAGCTACTCCACTGGAGTGCAGTGAACATGTCCAGCTTTCTGGACCTACCACAGACCTGCTGGTGCATCATAGCTCAGGACAGTCCTAGATCTTAACAAAATGTGTCCAGATAAACTTTTGGTATGATAGAACTGACTATGTCCAAGGGACCAAGAGGTTTCCATTCATTTCTAGTAGCATCTCCAGCTCTAGCCTGCTAAAGGAATGGATTGTCACAGCTCCTACTCTGATCTGAGGGCTGCAGAGAGATTTCTTCAGTCGCGTTTGGGAAAGGAGAGTGTCAACACATACAGGGCAAAGGCAAGACTTATTCTTAGGCCTCAAAATAAGCTCAAGCTCCCATGCACGGAGATTGGAGAGTGCAGCTTATGTTGAACATCTTCTCACCACAAAGGGTCACTGCCTGGAAAAGAGCCTGTGGTACTGCTCTGCAAGAACATTCAGCACCAGTTTGGTGGGAAGGTGGGAGAGGATTCAAATGCTGCCTCTACATTTATGAGACCTGACTGTTCTGCTGAGGCTTCCAGCTGAACAAAAAACAAAGTGCATTTTGCCCTACCCCTGGATTTCAGGTGACTGCAGTGAATTTCCATAGGGGGAGGTGAAGTGTTGCACTGGGTTAAAACAGTACTGCCACTCCTCCTCCCCTCTTGGACAGCAGCTTCTCCTTTACCCTCAACTGCCTTGCACTGAGTTCACCAGCCCTCTATGATGTGCAGATAACACCATGAACTGGGTTTACCAGGGGAATTTCAGAGGGTGTTAGGCACCTGAACAGGTCAACAGATCCTGACCTATCTGCCTATACCTCTTGCACAGCCAGGAGCTGCCTCTGGATTCCCATAGCAACTTTCCCATTGGACCACTTGCATGGTTTTCTGCTTCATTACATGTATGCATTTCCAATTGGACCTTGATGACGATTTATCGACTATTGGAAGCACTGAGGCAAATCAGGAATAAACAAAAACTACTGGAATTTAAAAGAAATTACATCTTTTCCCATGGGTTCCCCTAACCATCTGGGTGTGCTGCTGTTGTTGATGATCCCAAACTGATCTGAAGGCATGGTCTATTGGTCTCAGAGCAGACTTCAGAGACCTTTCCCTGAACATATATAATCCAAAAGACATTACCACGACAGATGGAGAAGTTCTCTCTAGTGGATAAAAATGCAAGGACTGCAGTGGAACAGGCCCTTCTCCTGTAGTCATGTGAACACTCTGGATAAAGTGCTGTATGCTGAGATCACTAGCAGACAAGAAAATATTCCAAGCACACGTGTGTTTGCTTTCAGTGTACCACAGCATAAAAATCAGGTCATGTCCTGCCCCATCAGCTTCTATAAACATCAGGTGGGCTGTCAGGGTCTAATGCAAGATGGCACCCAGCCCAATTTAACCGTTGTTTAAAGTAAGTCAGGTATTACTGCTGAGATAGGCAGCACTTTTCCATATGTAGAAAGCAACAGCTGCAGAATTACCTGCCTCAGGAGAGGTTTGAAACCACACACAGAGTCTCTCTCCTGGGTTTAGTACCTGCTGTGGAAATCATACATCCTAACAGGAGCTGGTTGACACAAATTAGCACTGGAAGCAGGCTGGCCTCATCATTCAGATGCCAGCTTGAGACCCAGAAGGAATGAATTTGACTCATTACTGCAGCACAGATTCCCTGTGTCTCTCCAAGCACTGGTTCCCTGCTTGATCTCTGGAGGATTATCGGCGCAGGCGAACCAGCCCTGTGAGGGAGATGTCAGGGATAAATGCATTGTGTGCCGATGTGTTCCAGGCTACACTACCAAGGGAGAAGCAATATATTATACCCTCCTGCAACTCTCAGCTCCAGCCCTCCTTCCCACTAGATTAAAAATTAAACACAGGGTGATAAAGAGGCTGTGGAGGTATGCACAGGATACCTCCTGGAAGTATGCATGAAAGTCTGTGAGCCATCAGCATGAAAATCATTCCTCCTGTGGCAAGAGCCCGTGGTTTCAGGGCCCTGAAGCTGAACTGTTCTTTATCTCTGGGCTTTGTTCCCCACTTTTCACAGAGGCGGTCAGGTTCCCTGTGGATCATTTGCAGAACAAGAACAAGATAGCACACCTTGGGCCTTCAAGGCTCTTCCTTTGGAGTCACAGAAAAATTCCTTGCACCCCACCTTTCTCAAAGGGTCTTCCTAATTTCCTTTTTAATGTGTTTGATATCCAAGCTCCATGACACACGTTACATTTTACTTGTCGATACAAGTATTGATTCATAGATTGCATTCTGAGTATTTAAGCTTTGTCCCCAAATTCATCTTTCTCAGGATCTAAATAGATCAGAATAGATCAGACCACCTTCATCCCACATGACAGATCTGAGATGAGTACCTCAGCAGCTCCTCAATGTCCTCCTCAGGATCCCTGCTCAGCACATACTTGCTGTGCTCACAGGCAGCTGGCAGCAGGAGTGAGTCACCCAGTCTCACCACCCCACCGAGGTCTGGGTCTTCAAATAACTTCAGATCTAGAAAGGGGAACCAGAAGCTGCTGAATTTAAATCATGCTATGTAACACAAGGCCTGCACTAACACTAACAAGTAAATCTGGCTAGGTGGGTTGAAAAAACAGATCATGGAGACAATTCTTTTTTTCCAAAGACTTCCAGTCCACAAAGTGCAGTGATACTCTGCACTTTAGGACTTGGTAAATCTGCTTTTTCCTTGCACTCAAAAGTAGGTCACATTACTCCTGTTAGTGTGGCATGAGTGACTGTGGGACAGCCAGCTCCCACAGACCTTAATATCCCAGCTCAAAATGTTTACAGAGAACATCTATGAGAGCTACAGGTTTCATTTGTTCTTTCTGAATGATTCTAGATGATTCTGCTCAGCTGAAGATTTGCCTTAACACTTCCAAGACATTATTTAGCCTGTATACTATGCATCACTGTAATTTAAAGTCTCAGTTATACACATGCTTTAGATAAAACAATCTGTGTATATATAAATATAGAACAGATTTACTCTCTTTAATCTTTCCTCTGGGACTGATTGATGAGAAATCTTTTTCTGGGCCGAAGAGTCCTTCATTTGGATCCACCTCCTCTTCAAAAATGGTTAATTTGGGCTTTTCTTCCTTGGCTGAAGGAGCAGGTGTCTTCTTTGCTTTTTTAGTTCTAAAACGTAAGAGAAAAGAAAGTTAGCTGCAACTCTTCCTTTTAACAAGCAAGATTTATGGCTAGAAAGTCTCCTAAGCTGAAAATAGATGGTGGGAGGCTAGGAAAGGTTTAGACAAAGGTACACAGGCATCTGTTAATTGCTGGCAGGAATGGGACACTGACCTGGAGGGACAGTTGGTCTGGCATGCTCTAGCTGGACCCATGTTGTGTATTCTTAATATATGTCAAGGAGTCCAATGGGAATGGGAAAAGCAGAGCTAACAATGCTGCACTGTGCAAACTACTACTCAGAAACATTTAAGCAGTTTTACTGCTCCCACACAGAAAGCTTAAAATAAGGAAGATCAGTTCCATCAACACTGTTTGAGATAGACAGAAAAGAATGGCTTGAAATACAAAGTGCAAGTTGGTCCATTGCACTGATCCCTGTGGACAGGTTTTAAAAAATCCCTTTGGCTCCATTACCCTGCCAGCTCCTGCTGCTGTTTATGATTACTGCATACTCCTTTCATAAAGGTATTAGACACTTCCCTCATTTGCACATGGCTTAAACACAGAGAGTTGACTCCCTTTCCAAGAGCACAGTGAAAAGCACCTGCCTCTTGCTTTCATACCCAGGACTCACATTCCACCAGCTGAAGCTACAAGGCAGCTCTCACAATAATTGAGCTTGAGTTATGAGGCAAACCAGATGGCACAGAAAAGAAAATTTAGAGGACAATAACCTTTGGGTGAAAAGTCCAATTCAAACTAGGCTGAAAGAGAAGCAGTCCCTAGGACAACATGCCCTTCCAAGTAATTGCCATATTTCAGAGATCTTCACTCTCAGCAGCTCTGGTGCTGCAATTTCTAAGGTACCCCTTTGAGTGCCTCTTCCAATAGAAGATCTGATCTCCTCTGCAGAGAGCAGGTCAGGTTTCAGCCTAGAGCAAACCCAATTATCAGCACTTAACATGCCATAGTCATCAAAAACTAAGAACAAGGTCAAAAGATTACGCACACATTCCAACTACATTAAAGAGTCTTGTAAAATCTTCTTGCAATTACAGCTGCACACAAAAGCAGAGTCCAGTTACTTCCAGTTATTTTCACAAGTTTATTATCAACAAACTGGAACTCACAGATGGTATTACCTTGCTACCACTACTTTGTGGCAAATGGAGCCTAAGAGCAAGCACCATGCAGAACCTAAATATTGCTTTATTTGGAAATATACCTTATTTGATACTCTAAAGGGATCTGCAGGCGTCAGCAACTACTATTCATGACAAAGCCCTTCATTATAAAGCAGAAGAAACTTTAATGATTTTTTTTGCATTCATATTCATTAGGGATATGCCTCAAATAACTTTTGAATCTGAGCTACTTTTGAAAGCACAGCTCCAAGGAACTGCTTCAACCTGAAGCATTTACAGAAGACCCTTCTTCCAAAACCTGCCAAAATCTAAAGTTAAAATATGTACAGTCAGCTTTCATCCAGGATACTTACACAAACTCAAATTCATTGCTTTATTAACTGTAGCAAGGGATCTATCACTCAAATGACCCCAAGTATTAAAGGTAAAGGTAAACCAAACAACAACAAAACTGGAAGAACAGTGGGACCAAATCATTCAGAGCTGAAAACTGATTTAAAAAATATTTAGCAAACACAAATAAATCAAATCAACTATGGAAGAAGCAACCTTTATTTGCATAACCCACAAAATATTCTCTGACAGATGAATGATAATATAGTTGAGGATTTGCCAAGCTACAGAATGCCAAAAGTCTTTGACAAGACCTCTTGTCCATTTAGAGTTACAACAGGTCTCCTGATGCATAAGAGCCCATCATGGCACAGGTAATTATATACAGGAGCCAGCACACTGCCAAGCAACAGGTCTCCACCCCAGTGACATTAGCAAGGAATTTACTATTAGTTAGCCCAAGTATTTGCAGTAAACAATACCAGAATAGTGGGAAACACCAAAGAAAGGGAATAGAATCATAAAGAGCATCATACAGAACAGTATATAAAACAGAAATAATGGAACTGAAATATCCTGGTAATGACCTTTTGTGTAGTCTGGCCACCAAACCAGCCCACTGACACGGGAACACTTTCTGTTTGGCCAGGGGACTCCACTGGCAGCTACAGGGCACAGGGCCAGGCCCGCTGGGCTGGACTGGTACCGGTAGGAACAGCAGGAAATCGTTTTTCTGGCTTCAAGTTGTTTCCCCTCACTGCCCTTCTAAGGAAGCCACTGTGGGACTGCCAAGTAATTGCAGCATATCCATACAGGGACACTGTTGAGGTCAGTCCCTAAGTGGGAAACAGGATTCCCACGGTTCTGTATTTAGCTGTGCCAGTCCAGACTGCACTGCTGAGCAGAGGTTAATAGATGAGAAGGGGGTGTGGGAAGTTTAAGAGACTGTCTGAGGTTCTGCAGCTGGCCTGAGGGTGCATCTGCCTGCCCACCCATCCCCTCTCTGTGTATTGGTGCTACCTCCCCATAAGCAGGGCCCAGGGACTGTGCTGGAGCCAAGCTGACTGTGAAGCCCCAGGCTGGCAGGCAGGCAGGAAGGGGAGAAGCTGCAAGGATAGCTAATTCAATGATCATGATGTACCAGAGTGCAGCAAACTTGTGTAGGAATGTAGAGTCTTTGGAGAAGACAGAAATGAAGGAACATTAATTCTTCCAACGTATTACTGTACTCAAACCCTGCACTTCATTAGCACCTTCTTCATACATCACGCTCACAACCTTGGCATATGACATTTCGAAACTACCAGCATCCAGCTGGCAGAAGATGACCCATGTTATTGCAATTTCTTCATTTATGAACAAGTGAACTTTTGGAGCATCACTCTAGTGACTTTTAAAACCTCAACAAAAACCAAAGCAGCCCTAAGGATGATGTAATCCTTTGTTCAGCAGGAACTATTTACCCAGTTGAGCCTACTGATGTCCACACAGGAAGCACTGTGAGGATATCTCAAATAACACTCCAGTCTCCTGCTCTGACTAAAAAGGAGCCTCCTGAGTGCTGTACATAAAGACTGGCCTTCTAACTGACATGGACCAAAACTGGATGATCAAAAATTAGAGTACAGGAATCCACCTGGTCAGGCTGCTGGAACACTCCAGAGTCCAGCTGAGACTCCTGGCTCCCACATGATCCTCAAATCACCCATGCAAATGTCAACAAAACCCTGTATACAGACACTTTGAAACCTCACTCACTTTGTGAGCACAGTTCTCCTGTTACTGTTTACTGGCACAATGCAGGTCACTCCTCTGGCAGCCTCCAGGTCCCACTGGCACAGCAGCAATGCACAAGAGCTTTCTGGTCAGGTGTGGAAAACAGCAATGAGGATGACTAAGGTACTCCAAAGTCAGAAGATTTCCAGACCTGTGTGTGACAGCTGTTTGTGAAACACTGGAACTACAGATCCAATGCTGGGTGACACTGGTTTAAATCACAGTGTGTCTACTGTGCTCTGTACAGAGAGGAGTCCCTGCCCCAGGCTCACTGCTGGGTTAGAACAGTGAGTGTTGTAATCAAGAGCATGTGTAATCTCAGCACACAGGAAAAAGTCTTCAGGTGTTATTATTCTGAAAATATGGCCATCTCTTTTTTAGAGAAGTAAAATTATGCTTCAGAAAAGGAGCGCTACAGTAATATTAAAAAAAAAGACTTATTCAGAATATACATACTTATACATTAGGTATTCATGGAATTTTACAAGGAAACAGCTCACTAATATAAATGGACATCCCCACTCCCACACATCTATGTTCAGGCTTGAACAAAAGAGCTACAGCTAGAATAGCAGCAATATCAGCACATCTTCTTGAAAACCACATCTGAAAAACAAAGATCCTATACACTAGTTTGTGCAGAAAACAAAATGTCATCTGCTGCTTTCTTTTCACTCAACAGTGCTCGTTTTCCAGAGCTGCCTGATAATAACAGACAGGACAAAAGGGGTCATTCTCCATTGCTCTGGCCAAGGGATGCCCAATAGAAACTCAAAGCCCATCAGCTCACACAGCCTCACTCCTAAGCATTAAGCTGCCACGACAAGTGCTGGCTGCAGGGATACTGCACCTCACACAGCAATCTTTTTCTTGTGGACATCATGCTAATTTACAGGATTTTAAATGGCTTTGGCATGTCCCAAAGTAAGATAATGTGTAACTGATGGAATAAATTGCCAATTAGAAATAATGTGGAACAAGATTATTCATTTGCAAAGTTTGTCTGCTTCTGTTCTGACATTAGGTCAGCCTTGGATTATTGTTCCAGCAGAGCAACAGATGGAAAGAAAGCCTGAAGGAACAGATTTTCAGGAGTTCAGCTCCCATCCAGGGACCCGCTTTTGTGGAGATTTTTCTGAAGGGCTCAGAACTCAAGAGTACCTGTTCCTCCTAAACAAAGGCAAGCAGTGTTTATAAACTGTCCTCAAGTTTTCTGATTATATCCTTTTCCAATGTAATTTGAAAGCAGATGAGAAGACCACAGATGGACAACTTTTGTTTAGTACACAGCTCATTAGCAAGAATCATAATAGAGAAACATTTGCTAAAATGTTTTCAACTAAATAACTAATAAAACACTCAAGCACTCATAAGCCTGGCAAGGGAACTAGGGTTAGACAGTAGATTGCAAAGAAGGAAAACTAACATAAAGGAAATTTCTTTATAATTTTCCTCTGATTTTCTATACTAAACCAGAGTGTAAGACTTGCTGAAACAAGTTAAGGAACAACAAAAGACAAGTTTCAAAACATAATCATGACTAAATTAAACCACAGTGGTCCAGAACAAAAGAAGCATAATAAAGTTGTCAATAATGATGTGAAAAAGCTAAAAATACTCATTAGTATTTTGGGTTTCATCTGCAAAGCAACAAAATGGTACTTCCAGGGTTTCTGACAACCGTGAAATTTTCCTTAGCCTAATACTCGTGGTAATGATGAACATTTTCAGATATGCAATACCAGATAACAC